CTGCAGTCCTGGGTATCGTAAGGACGTGTACATGAAGGTCTGCAGTCCTGGGTATCGTAAGGGTGTGTACATGAAGATCTGTAGTCCTGGGTATCGTAAGGGTGTGTACATGAATGCGTCAGTACTGGGTATCGTGCTTTTTACATACCCGTGACGTCATGTGCATGCAATCCAGTTTCTTTTAAATCTTAGTAACCTTTCGTCAACAGATACCTCGACATGCACATCGTGCATAAATAATTCCGCAATCATTTTACGATGGTAAGGGCATTTACGATGCATTTTAACTCAACAGATTTGTCTATGAGAGTGTTATAAAGTAACAAATATTTGAAAACACTGCGCCAAAATAATATCAATTTACGTGTAATTAGATCCCCCGATTTGGGAACATAACTGACGACGCTGCTCTTATTGGATTCGTGATTGTTTTGTGTTCTCCACTAAGAGCTCTTTAACACGCTGTTATCAAAATGGCTTTTTGTTTTTGGCTCCTTTTGTAAACTATTGTATTTTATACTAACGGGTCGATGGTGTGAATGGAATTTTGATATCGATTACAGGCGCTTCTATCCATCTATCAGTGTATATCTGGAGCCAGATGATAGTTGTTACCTTTATATTCTTTCAGACGTAAGTAATATTGTTCCAGAACACTGGCAATTGTGTCAATATGCTCGTGAAACTGTCGCGCATATCCTCGAGACATACACCGGGCGAAACTTTCTCATTTGGGTCAAAACACCACGTGTTCTTAATGACATAAAGCAGTTATAAAACAGACATATAATCAAAGCAGAATAGGTAATAACGAGATTGGTTCAGATAAGTTAATGATGTGCCGAAATATACCTAAGGGAAGATATGGGAAACGTAACTTGATGAAGAGTATTATAAAGAGATATAATAAGCCAAAAATGTCCAATTTCTGCCTACAAATTTAGTAAATAACCTCCAATTACAAGCCAATGCAACTGCACACATATAACAAAGCTTATTAAATTGCCCCCCGGTTTTCGTCCCGTTGGGTAAGACAAGTCTCAATATCAACTGTTAGTAAGAGCCAATAAAAAATTACACAACTTGTATTAAAAGTCAAATTAGGCAAAAGTATTATGAGACATTTATTATTTTTAGCGGAATGTGGTGTTTAAGAAAAAAACAAAGCTTATTAAATTGTTCCCGGTTGTAGTCCTGTTGGGTAGGACCAGTCTCAATACCAACTTTTCGTAAGAGCCGGTAAAAAATGACATATTTTGGATTAAAGGTCAAATCAATTAAAAGTATTACGAGACCTTTATATTATTTTAAAGTAACAAGTTTTTTTAAACACTGCACTTGAAATATCATCTTAGTTAGTCGACCCCCTCCATTTGTGAACATAACTATTAGATTTTTGATTGTGCAACCTTGTTTGATTACTTATTTCTAAGAGGATAGCAGCTTGAAAACGCAGAACCACTTCAACTATAGATCATGTAGATTTTTATTCTTCACACACGGGCTACAGGCTGGCACGCAGGCAGGGACAGTCACGACCATCTCCCGGGGTCTCTCTCTCTGTATCTGAGAGGCCCAGAATTTATAGGGAATCGCACTGATTCCTGCGTGCCCAAAAACTATTAGTAAACGTACATGATTTAAAAAGAAGACAATTAAAGCTAAATACAGGGACTATGTTATTTGTTATAGTAGCCCTGAACATGGATTTATTCTCCGGGTAGGAAGGTTACATAACGCTCGGACCTGGAATTGGCTTTAACGAAGTTATCTCAGGTGTGGCGACTTGTTTTTGGTAGAAGAGATCAAAAGAACCAAATGGAAATAATGAGGCCTTAGTACCTCTACGATTTTAGGATCGTCACCGGGTTTCCCTTTTCTGTCATCTGAAAGGGTGTACATGTATCTTCAATTATCTAAATTAATAACCCTAACGAGATTTTTGTTTCTAATTTTGGTTTCTCTTCCGTGATTGAAAATGTGATTTAAAGGCAGAGACAAATTGTATAACGCTACCGTGTTATAATTGTTTTGTACATGACACTAAGCGACCCTTAACACGCTGTTATTATAATGGCTTTTTGTTTTTTTCTCCTTTTGTGAACTGTTGCATTTTATACCAAGAGTGGTTTAGTTAAAGTAATGATATCCTGAAATATACGAAAGGGAATATACGGGAAAATCAACTTGATAAACAACATTATTAAGAGATATATTCAGCCAAATTTTTCCATTTTTGGAAAATAATTTAGTTGATAACCTTTAAAATTAAAGCCATATAACTGCATACAAATAACAATGCTTATTAAATTGTCCCCGGTTGTAGTCCTATTGGGTTGGACCAGTCTCAATACCAACTTTTCGTAAAAGCCGGTAACAAATTACACAACTTGGATTAAAGGTCAAATTAGATAAAAGACCTTTATTATTTTAACGTAGTGTAGGGTTTAAGAAATAACAGTCTATGGGCAAAGTCACCGGTATAGACTGGGAGGGGGCTGGCTACAGTTTTTGTATTCCTTTATAAAGTTAAGAAAGTATTAAAAACGTGATACACCAACGCACGCACACAAACACCGGTTAATGGACGTCTTCTCTGTTTTGTAAATAGTCATTAAGTGACGTTTATATGTCACATATGAAGATAAAGACTTTAACTTGAACAACCAAACAGTTTAACATTGCTGAAAGGGTCGCAGACATTGTTTGAGGTAATGGATAACAAATACCTTGATATGCATATCGTGTCTGACGCAAAGTTAATATTTTTCCAATAATTTTACGATGATTAGGGCATTTACGATACATTTAACTCAACAGATTTGTCTAGGGGAATGTTTTTAAAGTAACAAATATTTGAAAACACTGCGCACGAAATATCGCCTAACGTGTTAGTTGACCCCGATTTGGGAACATAACTGACGACGCTGCTCCTATTGGATTCGTGATTGTTTTGTGTTCTCCACTAAGAGCTCTTTAACACGCTGTTATCAAAATGGCTTTTTGTTTTTGGCTCCTTTTGTAAACTATTGTATTTTATACTAACGGGTCGATGGTGTGAATGGAATTTTGATATCGATTACAGGCGCTTCTATCCATCTATCAGTGTATATCTGGAGCCAGATGATAGTTGTTACCTTTATATTCTTTCAGACGTAAGTAATATTGTTCCAGAACACTGGCAATTGTGTCAATATGCTCGTGAAACCGTCGCGCATATCCGGGGGAAACTTTCTCAGTAGGGACAAAACACCATAAAGCAGTTATAAAATGGACTAATGACATTAAGCAGTCATTAGACAGACATATAATAAAAATAGAATAGGTAGTAACAAGAGTGGTTTAGTTAAAGTAACGATGTTCCTTAATATACCAAAGGGAATATACGGGAAAAACAGCTTGATAAACAACATTATAAATAGATATATTTATCCAGAAATGTCCATTTCTGGAAAATAATTTAGTAGATAACCTTTAAAATAAAAGCCAATACAACTGCATACAATTAACAAAGCTTATTAAATTGCCCCCGGTTTTTGTCCTGTTGGGTAAGACCAGTCTTCAATACCAACTGCCGGTAAGAGCCGGTACACATCTTGGATTAAAGGTCAAATAAGATAAAAGACCTTTATTATTTTTAACGGAATGTAGGGTTTAAGAAAAAACTTTTCATGGGCAAAGTCGTCGGTATAAAATGGGGCTGCTTCACAAGTATTGAAACTGCGATACACCAACTGGTTGATGCACGTCTTCTATTTGGTAAAAATCTCATAAAGTTACGCTCATGTGTCACATCTGATGATTCTAACTTGATTAACAAGCGATTTCCACTTTGGCCACTTTCAGAATACTGGACTAACTTGTCCGCGGGTCAAATATGGCGACCCACTGAATAGCTTACCGGCTAATTAATCCGCTTATAGACACTGAATAGAGTCCCCGTGGGGAAGTATTCAAGTGAGTCGGCCATATTTGGCCCTCGGACTAGTTAGTCCTCTGTTCTGAATGCGACCTTGTTGTGAGGGTCGCAGATATTGTTTAGGGTGATACACGAGGTATCGTCAAACCATTCAATACATAATTCCCCAGCGTGCATATAACGGGAGAAATCACATGGATGATCATCGCAATGTCCGCTGGTATCTCCATGAAGTGGTCTCTATTGATAGTGTGGGCGGAGAGACAGACCCAAGCTAAATGGAGTCATTTTCAAGTATAATGTTAAAAAAATGACGCGAAGCAAATCTGTATCACGAGGGTCGATATTTGAGATGGATAGTGTTACTCAATGGACGCCTCTCAAACGATTGTCATATTTAAATCCAATTACTACGCATATGTTGCATATGGGGGCCTCCAAACATAGTTAGATAATAAAGGAAACATTTTTCACGTGACTTAGAAAGCGCAAAACATCACCAATCAAATACATATTCTGGATCCTATTTTCAGAATCAATGTAGTTGGTACTGTGTTACAAATCTTTACACAAACGATACCACCTGATGGCATCAAACTTTATCCTACGCTTTCCTCGTGATCTAAAATCGTTCCCAAATACATTATTACCAGAGAAAGTCTTTTTCGGGTTCTTTGCATAAGTAGTCTACGCTCATATCGTTTTCAGCAATAACGCTTGCCGAACATGACGTCAATATACTATGTATAATTATTTACCGACAAGGTCGTGCTGTAAGTGTTTCTCTTCCTCTTCCCCCTCTCCCCATGACTTGTAGGATATCACGATTTTATTTCTTTTCAATGCTGTCATTTGCACTGCCAGGCTAAAGGCCGCAGTTCCGATCTTACATAAGAGAGGAGAAAAGAAATGTTTAGATAACTTACGTGTGGTATACGACAGTAGTTCTATATATATAGACATTGATTTGCCGCCGCAGACAGGAGACTGGCTAGCGGCAGGCACTCTAACCCAAGACTTCCTCGCCTCTCATTGGTCGGGGGAGAACTTCATGATGACGTCGTCGCGGTCTATTCAGCTCTCCAATAATTCCCACAGTCGCTAAGCTTCCACGCGTATTTAAGCTACGTTCATTCTTTCAAAGACAATCGACTAAACGAGCGACCCACCGGCAAAAGTGTGACAAGGAAACTATCGCAGCTCTAAAGGACAGACAGAAGGGAACCGCCAAAAGAGAACAGTCAAGGGCTAAATAACTCTATTTGTGGTCCGCTCGTTTTGGAAACAAGAACAAAAGCTATAGTATTCTGAGGACTCCAGAACAGAATTTGTGCACCTGTCACGAGCATTATGAAGTTTGCAACTGGGTACGTCACTTTTGGAATGATGGTGGTATTGGCGCTGGCAGATGTCAAGGTACGTGGCTTTCATTTAAATTCTTACACATATTTGTGATCATGCCATTGCTTAAGAGAACTGTTTTTGCTTTCGTGACCAATGATAAGATTGTAAATTATAAAAAAGCTCACCCTTCGTCAAAACAAACTGAACTGCTTTCAGAGAAAAATATTTTACAAGCCTTATTTTTGATGAATAAAAGATGTTTCTGTCCTTTTAGACATAGAAATAACTGTTATCGAAGCAAATACATAGTTTTTAGAGAAGATGCTCAAACAGTTCGTAGTTAGCACCTCTTCTAATATAATAAGGAATAGACTCGTAAAGCTTAGCACATCATAGTGGCATAGTTGTCTTGTCTCCTCTCAGCAAGTCAGCTAGGCGCAGTCTGTGGTCGGTTTACTAGTACTGCCCGGAAGATAACTCATGGTTTGTTGTCGACTGAATTACATTCAAGAAGCAAACACATGGTCTTTAATCACCGAGCGCGTGGCGGGGTTGTTTTCTGTTGGCGTTCATGGACATTTGGCACCATCTTGTAGTGTCAACTTTATGTCACACCTGCATTAATAATGTACCGTATGTACGCGTGCCGTTCATTTAACCAGATTATATATGTGCGTGCGCTGTTGTACCAGCTACCAGTACCCCCCGCCGGGCAGCCTCCTAGACCTGCGTGACAGAGATCAGGACTTGCCGCGTCTGAAGCTTTCTAAGTGACTTTTGAGAAAAAAAGGTCACGAAATGTTAAAAAAACATACTTTAGAAACACCTGCGCGTCGATGAACAAAACGGACAACCCGGCGTGTTCGTTACTGAAGTTTTGGCGATCATTTCTACGTAAGACCGCGAGCTTTTGATGAGCGCTCGGAAATTTATTACTACCCGCTGCTATGCTGTTCATTGCAGAAAACACTCAACGGCAGCTTGCAAAATGCGTCTTATTGGCTTTTTACCTTATCTGCATTATACATTTGTCTAACGGCATGCGCGCACACGAGCGGGAGTACGTTAGTAGACACGCATATGCTCTTGTTATTGCGCGTACATGTACAGGTGTATGTGTTTGAATAATGTTCAATATCATGCCGCCGCTAAGTGACGGGTTGAATGTATGACGTTCAATGCAGATTCCGCATGAAATCATGGCTAACGTGAACATAAAAATGGCCAACGTTTTCCCCCGACAACGTAAAGAAAGAACACTATAACAAATATATCTTTACAGAGGGCTGTATAGATTTTCACCACATCGCATACCAATTCGAACTTATAGCCACAAACAGCGTGTACATGAACCCTTGTCTTGACATTGAACCTGACTAACAGATCTCGACACAGTTGACTTAGCGTTCGGAGTCTTAGTCAGAATTAACGCTATATTAATGTTATGCAGTTTGATTAACGCGCTGCACGTTGTTCATTATAAATTACTCACGAAACAATCGGCGTTAGCCTGCGAAAGGCGACTAATTGGCTTTGTGTGTAATCTTGGGATTCTGACTTGGCTAATGTTTATATAATATTACATATTTGCCCTCATCAATTGGAGTTATTTACATCGTCAAGAAGCAATTAGCGATCAATCAACCATTATACACTGTAGATCAGCTCTGTGGCTTTTATACAAGTAATTGTAGACCTAAAATCGGTCTAAACATTTCTATCAAAATGTTAGTCTCATTCCACTCAAGATAAGTGGAAAGTTGTCCAATTAAAAACAAATATCGCGGTTGTTGTACAGCAAGAAAGGCACGCATGTTTCAAACCTATGCCTACATTTTTCTTCATATCTATTGTGTACTGAAGTAGACGAGAAATTTTAGTTTAAATGTTGCACCAACTTTGGGCTAAAGAAACCGTCTTCGCTTGGCCTAGGACAGGGGCAGCACTGCAGCTGAAATCGACTGAGTGCCGTTTGCTGAACTACGCCAACCCCTGAGACCACGATTACACTGTGAGAAGTGTTCTTCTCTTTACATGGAATTACCAATAGTCTCTCACTTTTTAAACTTTTTTTTCATTTTTTCTATTTATTTTGTCCCTGCCAATGTAATAAGCGTGGGTTACTTCTTTCTTTTTACGTAAGGTCACATCTTTGAGTTCTTACACTGATCACTCCTGCTACACTAATTATAACGTTTTCCAAAATATTTCAGCTACATGTTTAATTATAGCGTGTGTGTATATTCAGAAACATAATTATAAACATATAATTTAACAAATGTAATTATTACTGAGATGATTATCAGTCCAACTTTCCATGGCACTATTTAACGTAACGATGTTTATTAAGGGTAGTGACGAAAGTTGTTATTCATTATAATCTATGGTAAACACAATTTCATTCAGGGAAATATAGAATAGCGACATCCGGTACAAAAAGAATCGAAGACCACGTCCCGTCCTTTGATTTGTTATAGGCGGCATACTCTTTACCAAAGAGGAGGTATTTTAGAATAAGAAAATCTGTAAAACTGTTAATAAATGTACCTCTATCGCCCACGAGGGAAAAAGACCAAACAGATAGAATTAATAAACCTACTACTGAGTGGAATAGGAAATGAAAAGCACCAGTCTTGTTCCAATATCTTTGGAGATGATGAGAAAGTTTCTTTGCATGCATTTATTTCCTACTGCGGAAACGGCAATGGAAGGCTGGTGCTTGATTTGCACATGACACCCGCTATATCTTGGACAGTTCCGATAATTAAACGCTCCACTTGTGCGGACATCGCTCTAACAGAATTGCTTGCATCCATTTAGCAGAGTAATTCATCGTGTATTCAATGCACTGTCAATACTTGTGAGAAGCCAAGTCACATCAACACATCAAAGATAATTAGAACTCATTTTTTTATATCAAAAGTACAAAAATGTCACAAGATCCCATTTATTTTGTTATTGTTAAGATATTGATTCCCGGTTCAGTGGTATCATGTTGTATTGGGATTAAAATGTGCCCTTCCATTATGAAATATTAGAAGGACTTAGATAAATACTTCATTAATTGATGAAGTCATTAGGCAAAATTTTCCTAATATTGTTAATGTATATTTCATGTGTTGCTCATGATGTATTAGTAGGATCATGCACTAAACGATCTCTCTCTCTCTCTCTCTCTCTCTCTCTCTCTCTCTCTCTCTGTGTGTGTGTGTGTGTGTGTGCGTGTGTGTGTGTGTGTGTGTGTGTTTTAAATCCAAATACCTGTTGTCAGATGTGCCCAGGATGGGTGCTATGGTTTCATACTTTGCCGTAAGATGTTACGCTGAAGGTTTTGTCCTCCATGGCATTTCGCGATCGGTGCTATGGTGATAAGACATCCGCCTGTTTTATAGTATCCAAATTTTGACTATAGCTGTGTTTCCGCTTCCGCTCCCAATGTTAAATCACATTCTCAAATTATTCACCACTGAACCATGCAATTCTTAAGTGAGGTGATACATAAATGTAATAACGGTGAAGCGACGGTCACGTGATTTGTCATCTTCTACAAATTACCTACGACATTGTACAGAGTTTTATAAAATTGTTAGATATTAGTTGCAAACTTTTTCGATGAAAGTGGACATTTTCTGGAAATGTACAACCGCGTACATTTTGTCAAAAATTCGGTCAACATATCTAGAGACTTTTATAAGAAGATAATATGTCGTATTAGAATTTTATATTATAGACCTGGCTCAATGGACATTCAGTCGTTTGAAAGGACTTAATAATTAAAGTAAGTGTCAGAATTGGTATCATCAGACAAAGACGGCCCTGCTCATTACTGGCAATTGACTCTGTCCGTGTTCCACAGCTTTGACGTCGTTGTCGGCGTCATTGTTCACATGGAAAACGTTTGTTCTGACGGTAATGTCTATAATAAACATGTCGTTAGGTGAAATGTGTAGCAAAAATCCATTGCGAAATTGAGGACGCTTCACAAAGTCCTGTTTATATTTAAATTAATCAGGCCGTGAAAGGAAATTGTCGACGCTATTTTCAAACAAATTACGGATATCGCAGTGCAGTGTAAATCTCCATTGAATTTGACAAAGTAACAAGACAGTTTTTGGTAAATAGCGGTTAATTGAGGTTATATAAAGACGATATAGTTTCCCCATTAATGCCCTGAATGGTGCTAAAATGACGACTAAGCTTGTTAATGGGTCAAATTAACATTGTTTCCAGAAAGTATATCTGCTATGATCGAACCACGCTCTTGGAACACTACTTTGTCGTCATACTCCATAAGGGTTGCCATAATACAAAGCTATGCAAATGACTATTAATACCTTTCAAATCTCTATTGGCACTGACAGAGGCACAATTGCCGTGGAAACCAAGTCCTGGAGAATTAATATCGTACAAATAACCTTATGGATATTGGAAATACATTTAATGATACCAATTAATTTGTAGATATGACATTTATATATCACTTTGGTAATCTGGTGTCGTGTCGAGTGGATGTCTGTCTGGGAGAAAACAGCGTGTTTAACCACATGGATTTCCATGCGGTGAATTACAGATACCCCATCTAGCATTTAGAGGGATTATCGGACAAAGAGAAACATCTTGCAAATCCACATTGGTCACAGACCGCCGATAGCAGTTTCCTACATCATGGTTTTCCAATCCCTGTCATGATCATCATTATTGCATAAATGGTGGTGACGTGAGATTGGATTAGGTCAGGAAATAGTCCACAGATCTTTGCAAATATCGTCGTTAACAAAACTTTGCTCAACCTAACTTAGTAACTAGTTCTAAGAATTGATAACTTTTTTGTTTTCTCAGTAAAAGTAATAACACACTTTAAATCAGTTTTGAACAAAATTTGTAAATTGTCAGATTGTCGGCCCAAACACCGATCCTTTCATTCACTTTGTGTACGGACTTATCGTGATTCTTGTAGTGAAACATTCACATTCATTACAAGACAAAATAACTGGAAATATGGCGGTCCTCGACATAAGGCGGGTTCAGAGTAATTGGGAACGCACCTAAATAAGCACCTGTGTTTGCATCGT